AGAGATTCTGTAGAAAAATCCTGATCAAAAAGGGGAAAATGGAGAATAGATTTCAAATTCTCATCAACCCCAGACTTTCTGGAGTCATAGAGGCTGGATGAACCTATGAAATTACCCTGAGATACTGTTTAAATGTAAAACCAAAGATATTCCCTGAGGTCTCCTCAAAAGAATGTGTTGATAATTATGCTTTATTTACTATAAGAACTACTTATAGGGGATCAAATTACAACAGCAATTTGAAAGATTAGATTTTGACCTTAAAGGGCAGGGAGTTTATATTAATGGGGTAGCAGCAACTCAGAAAAGGGGGTGAAATGGTTGCACAACTTGAAAATGTGATCTATGCCACTGAATTGTGCATATACAAATGGTTAAATTGTACAGATTTTGTTGTATATATTTTCAACAACACAGTAAAATTAGTAAAGTAATCAATAAATTCAACATAATTTTTGTCTGCAAGTTCTGTGATTCAAACCCACCAGCCTGTTCCTCAGAAACCCTATGCAGGGTCATTATGAGTCAGATCCAACTCAATGGCACTTAATAACTATAACAAATGTTTGCCCAAGTTTAACCTACACCTTCAGATTCAACTCCACTTTCTATTCTGAAGGCCAAGATTTGCCGAGATTCAATGAACAAAACTCAAGAAACTGGTTCCATTTATCATCTAAGCCCTCTTGACTTTTTGTCTCATCTCTAATTAATATAGTTAGTATTTTCTATAACTAGATCTAGTAGATAGATCATAGATAGATATAGTTGCCTCACATCTACCTAATCTGAGCGATTCAAAATATATAAAAGTGCAAAAATATACATATAATAATAACGTTCAATTACTTATAAGTACTTTATTCCTATATAACCATAATGCTTCCTAATAATTAACACTGAAGAAAAAAGAATATAAGAAAATCAGATAGGGTCAAGACTGTTTTAAATGCTTCAAGTTTCCTTATAAGCCATTTTGTTATGCAAAAATACTAATCTTTTAGAGAAATTTTTCTGTTGAAAACAACTGATGATAAAGTTTAAATACACATTCAAGCTTATATTTCTGGGAGAGCATCTCAAAGGAAGGCACAGAATACAACTTTAGCAAATAAAACACCATTTTTACTTGTAAAATTTAGGTGATTTCCTATAATCCAATTTAGCAATTTGCTTTCACTGAGGTCTTCATTAACTCCCGAAGACTGAGACTCCTCACAAAGAATTGCACAACCCTGTTTGAATTTACACTTGGATGATTAAACACAGCTGGCTGATGAAATAATAAGTAAAAATCAAATTTCAGTTTGTGAGATTTTTTACCTATCATTTCTGTGCTATATGTAACTAAAGTATAATTTATGTTTATTTACTTTTACTCTGCTTCTTTCTATCTTGCATAACATCTTTCACAGTTAATGTGCCGAGTTTTGTTAACATGATCATATAAATTCCTAAAATTATATACTTTACATCAAACTCTAGTGATCTACCTCATCTACAAGGCCTGCGTATGAGCATTACTGAGTGTATGTGTTAAGTTTGTAAGACTCCTTGAAAATGATTTATGTAAATACATTCAAAATTGAAGTTTCAGGTGTTTCTATCTTTGGATTGCTTCTCAGAATAATTCTGAATAACTTACAGTTCAACATTCTGACTCACAGAGTTGGCACCATTTCATTAGCTAGAGTTGGAATCTTTGGCAAACGGCTCAATACCTTTCCTATAACCCATCTATTAAATTAAAAAGCATTATCCTTCAAAAACCTTTTTAGAAATGTCTCTGAGCATTTATTATGCAGAAAACTTCCCTAAAGCTCTTGATATTATCAATAAGAAATTCTTATAACTACTCCAATAAGATTTTTTAAAACATTTACCCACCTAGTCTTATCTCTGCATTCTTTTAAAGAGTGATGTTTAAAGGAGCAGCATGGATGTAAAATATTTAGTGGGATTGCCCTTATTAAATTGATTGTGGTTGGCAGGTCTCAAATGGCCTCTGGATCTCATGTGAAGAATAATCACAATAAAAATTGTGATAGGATCTTTGCTTTTGGTTGTGATATAATCCAAAGCTATAGCGTATATTTTTAAATCTCTCAAAAATAATGTACTAGTCAGATAACCACCATTTCTTGACTTAAAAATCTTATTCCTATGACTATCATTATTCCACTGTTTCGGACTAATATTTACAGTGTTAATTGGCACAGCAACAAGCAGTAACATAAATTGTATTGCGGCAAAATGGTATTGAGTTGTATATTAGTATATACTGTTCTTGATAACTAAGGAGCTCTGGTAGCGTAGTGGTTACGAATCGGGCTGTGAACCACAAGGTCCGCAGTTCGAAACTACCAGCTGCTCCGTGGGAGAAAGATGAGGCAATCTGCTCCTGTAAAGATTTACAGCCTCGGAAACCCTGTTCAGGGTCGCTATGGGTCGACACCGACTCGACGGCACTTAACAACAACAACACTCTTGATAACTAGGACATCGTTAGAGGATAGTTGACAATTGCGTTTACATGCCACAAATGAAAACAACCCAGACCCCTGCCCCAAGATATATTGGACCAGATGCCTTCACTGGGGAATTCTAACAAACATTTAAAATATAATCGTATCCACACTATTTGAACTCTTTCAAAAGTTTGAAAAATAAAGAATAATCTTTAATTCATAACCCTGATACTCAAGCCAGACAAAAACATCACATGAAAAGAAAACTATTGGCTAATATATCTTATCAATATAGGTGCAAACATAATGAATAGAATCTAGCAGCATATTAAAATAAACATACACCTAATGGATTTATTCCATTATGACCATAAATGACCAAATGGGATTTATTCCAGGATTACAGGGATAGTTCAGCATCATAAATTCAATAAATATAATATGCCACATCAATAGAACAAGGAAAAGAATCACATGAGCATATCTATTGATGCAAAAAAAAAGCATTTTATGAAACCCAACACCGTGTCTTGATTTAAAAAAACAAACAAACAAAACTAAAGGAGATTGGAATAGAAGACAAATTCCTCAATATGATTCAAGGCATATATGAAAAGCCTATAGCTTCATTCTGTTTAATGGGGAAAGACTGAGATGGTGGTGGTGGTTATGTGCTGTGGAGTCGGTTCCGACTCATAGCGACCCTGTACAGGATTTCTGAGGTTGTAAATCTTTACGGGAGAAGAAAGCCTTATCTTTCTCCTCCGGAACAGCTGGTAGTTTTGAACTGCTGACCTTGAGGTTCGCAGCCTGATTCGTAACCACTATGCTACCAGAGTTCCTTAAAGACTAAGATATTTCCCTTGAAATTGGGGTCAAGACCAGGGTACTTTCTCCCATCACGTCTCTTCATAATTGTATTAGAAGTCCTATCCAGAACAGACCACGGCAAGAAATAGAAATAAAGGGTATCCAGATACGAAAAGGGAGTCCTGGTGTGGCGCTGTGGATCAATGGGCAGACTGCAAAGCTTTTGAACAGCAAGGTTGGTGGATCAAGCTCACCAACTGCTCCTCAGAAACCATCTATAGGGTCGCTATGGGTCAGAACTGACTCAACAGTACTTCACAACACAACAAGATAGGAAAAGAAGTAATATTATCTCTATTCACAGATGATATGCTCCTATATTGTTGTTGTTAAGTGCTGTAGTCAGTTCCGACCCATAACGACCCTGTTGAGGGTTTTCGAGGAGCGACTGGTGAGCTTGAACCACGGACCATGCTGTCCAAACTGACTTTGCTGGTTCAAACCGACTTTGCAATTCAGTACATTAACATGATCCTGGTGCGGCGCACTGTGGGTTAACGCACCAGACTGCAAGGCCGTTTGAACTGCAAGGTCAGTGGTTCAAGCTCACCAGCTGCTCCTTGGAAACCCTATACAGGGTCGCTATGGGTCGGAATCGACTTGACGGCACTTGACAACAACAACATATAGGAAATCCCAAAGTGTCCACAAAGGAACTTAATGAGCTAATAGAGGAATTTAGCACACTTTCAGGGTACAAAGTTAACAAACAAAAATCAATACACCAGCAATGAGAAATCTGAAACTGAAATTAGGCAAAAAAAAAAAAAAAAAAAGCATTAACAATAGAATCTAAGATAATAAAATACCTAGGAATAAATTTAACCAGGAAAATGAAGGATATATACAATGAATTCTATAAAGCACTGCAGTGATTAAGTGAGACATAAATAAGTGAAAAAAGCTTCATACTCATGAATTGAAAAATTTACGTAGTCAAGGTATCAATATCATCCAGTCATCTATCGATTCGTTACAATTCCAATAAAAACCTCAACAACGTTTCCACAGAAATATAAAAACCAATCATCAGTTTTATATGGAATGGTTTGTTATTGCTGTTAAGTGCCATTGAGTCAATTACAGCTTACCGTGGTGACTCACTACAGGATTTCTGAGGAGTGTCTGGGAATCTGAACCGCAGACCAACCTTGTGATCCAGAGCTTGCACTACAGCATCATACCATTTGACCTCAAATAGCTAAGGCAATGTTGAAAGAGATAAACAAAGTAGAAAACTGCATTTTACCTAATTTTAGAACATAATCACAGTAATCAAAGCAGTTTGTTGTTGTGAAGTGTTTTTTAAGTTATCAATAAAAAACCAGGTAAACAAAATGTGGCTGATATATACAATGGTATATTACTCAGTCATTAGGCGAAATGAAGTCTACATACATGCTATAATAAGGATGGACCTGGAAGGCATACTGCTGAGTGAAATAAATCACAAAGGGAAAAGCACATGTAACCTCACTTAAATAAAAAGATGCATATTTATACACTGAACTAGAAAGTTGGTGTGAACCACAAGGTCGGAGGTTCAAGTTCACCAGCCGCTCCTCGGAAACCCAATAAAGGGTCACTATGGGTCGAAACCAACTCGATGGCACTTAACAACAACAATATAAAAAGACAGGGTAGGGCAAAACTGGTGTTCACAGCCACGCCACACCGCCTTCACTCCCTAACTCCAGCGCCACCGCCAGCTCTCTGAGTTCCAGCTGAACCAGAGGTGGGGTAAGTGAAGGAGGTCTCAGTAACAGGGCTCCTACAAATCCAACAGTCCTCAAATTTCGCAGTCCAGGAAAGCAACTGGCTGCGAAAGTCGCTTGTAAGAGTGTGCCCTCTACTTGAGGGTGAAGAAACCTCATCGTTACAGGCCTTCATGAAATTAGATATTATCAGATGTCCACCGAATTTCTGACTCAAGCTACTCTTCCCATGTCTGGTGCAAGAAATTGCTCAGGACTTCAAAACAGATCTGCGCTTCCAGGGAGCAGCTTTTGGTGCTTTGCAGGAGGCAAGTGAGGCCTATTTGCTTGACCTTTTTGAAGACACCAATCTGTGTGCTATGCATACCAAACATGTAACAATTATGCCAAAATACATCCAACTAGCATGCTGCATACGTGGATAACATGCGTAAGAATCCGCTGTAATGGGAAAGACTTCATTCTTTAAAAAAAAAAAACCACACAACTTCTTTCTTTTACTGGTAGCTCTGAATCTTAAATTATTTATTTTTTTCCCAAGGGCGTACAAATGTAACTATGTATATGACTGTACATGGAAATATAGGGGACAGAAATCAGTTATTGGCAGTTTTTTCCATTTTCATTTTTGTGACTTTTTAATATAAATGAAGGGACATAAAGCTTTACTGCAAGTCAGAACGTCTCAGTGAACAAGTTTCAGCAGTTCAATTTTATAACAATTATAAAGAAACTTGTTAAATTTTTCTGGAAAATTCTAGCATTTGAATTTTTTTTTTATAACAAGTGTATTTCTTATTGGCAGAAACTAAATGGAGTTTGTAGCATTTTTATCATGTGGCAGATTCCATCTATTCACTATACTTTTCTAATTGAGTTGTCTTACATGCAAGTGCATGTTTTTAATGTTGCCTGTCATCTATACTGTTCCTGTAAGTTT